CTCTAGATAAACACACGTACAAGTCAGTGGTTTATTATGAAAACCCCGTAATAGACAGTGAATGTTCTATGGTTGTAATGTTTTTCTTTCCTAGACAAACGAATAAAAAAATGAGTAAACTTTTGGGCTTTTTTTTTTTTTTTTTCCCATTGTGCTTCAGGTGAAGGTTTACAGAGCAAATTAGTTTCCCATTAAATAGTTTATACACAATTGTCCCATGACATAAGTTGCACTCCCCACAATGTGTCAGCATTCTCCCCATTACCACCCTGAGTTCCCCATTTCACTTGCCCAGTTTTCCTGCCCCTTCCTGCCTTCTCATCTTTGCTTTTGGGCATATGTTGTCCTTTTGGTCTCATGTAGATGATTGTTCTAAGGAGCACTTTCCTCACATGTGTTATTGTTTATTTATAGGCCTGTCTATTATTTGGCTGAAAGGTGATCTCTGGGAATGGCTTCAGTTCCAAGTTAGAAGGGTGTCTTAGGGCTATAGTTTCAGGGGTTCTTCTAGTCTCTCTCACACCAGTAAATCAGTCTTTTTTATGAATTTGAATTTTGTTCTACTTTTTTTTTCCCCACTCTAACTGGGACCTTCTATTGTGATCCTAGTCAGAGTGGTGGGTAGTGGTAGGTAGGCACCATATAGTTCGTCTGGTCTCAGGCTGGTGGAGGCTGCGGTTCCTGTGATCCATTAATCCTTTGGACTAATTGTTTCCTTGAGTCTTTGGTTTTCTTCAGTCTCCTTTGCTCCAAATGGAAAAAGACCAATAGTTGTATCTTAAATGGCTGCTCAAAAACTTTTAAGAACCCAGACACTACTCACCAATGTAGAATGTAGACATTTTCTTTACGAACTATGTTATGCCAATTAACCTAGATGTACCCCAGGACTATGGTCCTGAGCCTTCAAACCCTGAACTTTGGTTTTCAATTTCAAATAGGACTGCTGAAACTAGTTTTTTACAGTATTATTAGGAACAGTAATTATCATTACTATTTTTACTTTGGAGACTATTCTTTTTTATAATCAAATTTGATTGTATTTTTAATAGAACTTATTAGCAAATATAACTTTTTAGTTGCCTCAAAGCAAGACTTGAACTTATTTTTTTCTGACATAGCATTCATTGTCTTATTTTAATAGTCTTGGCCCTCAATTTTAAGATGATGGAGGTGGGGAAGGGGTAGACAGATGCTATACAAATAAAAAGGAGAATTGATATCTAGGTTATTTTTTTGCAAATGTATTCAATACAAATAATTATTCATTCCAGTACACCAGAGGCAATATTTACAAATACTGATCTTTCTTGACCTAGACCTTGCTAAAACTATCTAGTTTCATGGCGTGATGGTCAAGAGTGAGAGGTCTGGGGACAGACTGTCATCTATGAAATGGGGACAACAATAGTACCTACTTCAGAGGGTTGGTATGAGGTTTGAATGAGTTCAAAATATTAAAAACTTTTTAAATACTTCCTGGCACATAGCAAGCACTCAGTCATTATTATTATTATTATTATTTATATTTGTGCACTGGTGCCCATCCTCATTCATCAGGACTCATTGGATGAACCCTTATTCTGTGCTAGGCACAGTGATAGACACCACAGTTACTAAGACAAACCATCCATCATCCCTGCCCCCAAGAGTTTTCAGAGGAGTAGAAATAAAAAGACTTACTGCTATGACATAAGGGTTCTTAACTTGATTAGGATTCAGGGGGGTCCATGAACTTGGATGAGAAAAAAATGACATCTTTTTTCACTACCTCTAAATGAAATCTAGCATTTCCTTCAACTACTGATAATAGACAACAAACCACAGTCCTGTTAGCAGTGCCTGTGGCTTTGTTACCAAGAGAAATCACAGATATTTCCATATCACATTACAGATCTTGCAGGTATCTCAAAATATTATTTACCTTCATCACTACTTTGCAATTAGATAGTTATCAGACTGACCTGCTGCTAGATCTGGTTTAGTATGTTCATAAAGAAACACCTATATTAGTACAAGTTTTTCTTTTACTGTTTTAATAATGGTATTTTACCATAATTGGTTTCCTTTTTAATTCAATATATTTTATATTTATGCATTTAAAATAAAGGGTCGATAGGTTTCACTAGACTGAGTGCATTGCTCAGAAAAGGTTTTAAACTTCAGCACAGAAGTCTACGTAGGACAAAATAGGGGCATGAATGAGATAAAATGGGGGCATGAATGAAGGGGTGGACAACGGTGAGGAAGAGGGAAGAAAAAATGATTTTTTTTTTTTTTGGTAAGGGAAGCTAGATGGCTCTCATTTTTAAAAACAATTAGACAGGCTTAAAAACAGTCAGCTTGAGGTACCCGACTAAGGATAAGCATATTCTGATCGCGAAACAGCACAGAAATGGGAGTTAGAAAATCTGAGTTCAAGTCATAGCTCTGCTACTAAATGAACAATTCACTTAACCTCTCTAAACCGATTTTCTCATCTGTAAAATGGGGATAATAGCAGCATCATAATTATGAAAAATGAGATAATGTACATAAAAGCATGTTGATAACTGGAAAGTATTAAAACGATTGCTATTCTTCTTTCCTTGTAAACATATCTAGGCCTGTGCCAGGAAAAATAAATGGATGATGGCTTTGCTTTTTAGGTGTTACAGTTCAATTCCAGGTATAGCATGAACGCAAAAACAAACAAATAAAATCCTTCTAGAGAGCCATTTAAATTCAGTGTGAGGTAGAGGAATAAACATACACATATCATTGTCCCTAAACTGGAGCTAAATGTCTCAATAGCTGTCACCCCCAAATTCAGTAATATGACAAGTGAACAATCCTGAAATGATCTGTAAAAGTTTTACCTATAGAATGAACTCTGATTAAGAAGACTATAAATGTAGCTAAAATAACCCCTTAATTAATTTAAATTTGTCCGGGAAAGTAAGTTTTTTTAATGGTCTACATACATTCTAGACAAAGGCGAATCCAAAAAATGAGACTTTGTATCAACTAGATCTCACCCCCAGCATGGTTGGCTCTCATTTTCATGACCATTACTGGGTAGCTACTGTACATAGACCACACCCACGCCCACTCCCAAGGCAAGAATGCTACCATGACCTTTTTATAGGAAATACCCTTTAAGAACATCCCAACTCCCTTAGTTCCATTTCTCTGTTCAAGGATTTATGATAATCTAGCACTAGTCTTTTTCTTTGACTCTACCTGCTCTCACCCCTCAAAAAGGGAGAACCCTGTACAAGTGATGAAGACTGGTCATTTTGTCAGTTAATTAATAAATTAGCATTCTGGTTTATAACTTGATATTTTATGATTTACTTAGGGTAATTTAATTATCTAGACCCTGACTGAATTGATGAAACCTTTTTCTAACCCTGTAAAGTTGAAGACCAGCAGTTGACTAAGATTTAAACACCCACAAGCCTTTGTGGGGTGGCATTAATCAGAGAATGCTTACTTCAGAAATCTAAAAAAGAAAAAAAAATTTGTGGGTGGAAATTTAAAAAAAAAAGAGTACAAAGAATAGTATAGCAAGAAAGCATTCTGAATTTTTTGTCTGTCTAATCGTTCATCTATATTTTAATAGGCTGTATTTAAAAACTAGCAACAGGTATATAGGATTTCAGATAAAAGATTTGTGCCTGAAATGCCAAATTTCATGCTAAATGAACCATTTGTTCTTAATTATCATAGTAAATGTTTTTATAAAGACGGTACTTTAGTTATTTCAATAGCCATTCCAAAGATACTTGTTTTGTAAACAATTTGAATAACCATTCCCAAGATTCGTTTTGTAAATAAACAATGTTTTGCATTTAACTGTAAAAATGCTATTGAAAGTATGAAATAGTTCTATGTTTATAGACTGGGATTTATGTAGATGTTTCATTTTAATGTAATATAAGGTCACAGGATTTGAATTGGAAGGACACACTTAGAGATCATCTTGTTCAACCTGAAATTCAAATATTTTTAAGAGTATTAGCTCAATTCCAAGCCACGCGTGTATCAGAAAACTGAATGGGGCCTGTATACGTGTATCTTTCTTTTAAGCGAGACCCACGAAACACTGGATTCCCTCTTTTTTGCGACTAAAAGAATAGGTTCTCAAGAAGGGTGAACGTACTTTTAGAAGTTACCCAGTGCACCCTCTAGCCACTCCTGTGCTGTCTGGGGGGGAAAAAATCGAGTATTTAGGCTTTACTTCCATCATGTTGAGAAGCCACCATCTCAGCAATGATCCAGAAGCTTCGTAGCACCTACAGAAAATAGTTTTCCTCACTTCTATCGGAAATCCCTGCTACAATGTAAATCGGTCCCTTTGGTGGAGCCCAGTCGCGTCCGAGAGCAGCAGCCCGAACTCTTCGGCTGCCCCCAGTCTTCTCAAGGGCTTTGCTGGGTGGGATTTGGCTATGGGTGGCGTTAGGCACGCGGTGACGAGGGGACAGGAGACGCGACCCCCGCCTTGAGATCTCCTCAGATAAGAACTGACCCCGACGTGGGCACACCAACCCCCACGAAGGACCCTTCCTGTAAAGTTAGAGACTCGGTGAGCTATAATGAATCTCTCAGTTCATTTAACAGGCCCCCCGTCCCCAGGTCCTCAGAGACCCGCCTCTCTTCAGGGGGTCCTGTACCCCCCTGGGGGCGGTGACTGACAACGCTCAGAGGGCGAGAAACGGCTCTCTAAACCGCTCTCTGGGTCCCTCTCTCCCCACAATGCACCGGGGCCAGCAGGAAGGCCGCTCCGACCCCTAATTTTCCCGCGAATTCAGTTCAAAGAGGCGGCCGGGCCCGCGATCGGCCGCGCGCACGAGCCAACCAAGCCGGGCCTCCTGGAGAAGCGCCTCCGCGTGACTGACGGGAGAATCCGCGGGCCAACGGGCTGGGCAGCCGGGCGGCGCGCGCTCCCGCCGTCCAATCAGAGAGCCGGGCGGGGGAAGTGGGCGGAGCGAGGCCAGGGTAGGGTGAGCGGCCTCCGGAGCCGAGCGGAGCTGTGAGGAGGAGACACTTTTTTTTTTTTTTAACCTCCCTCCTTCCCTCCTCTCCTCCTCCCTTCCCTTCCCCTCTCCTCCCCTCTCTCCTCCTTCCCCCCTCGGTCCGCCGGAGCCTGCTGGGGCGAGCGGTTGGTATTGCAGGCGCTTACTCTCCGGGGCCGCCCGGCGGGTAGCTGGCGGGGGGAGGAGGCAGGAACCGCGATGGCGCCTCAGAAGCACGGCGGTGGGGGAGGGGGTGGCTCGGGGCCCAGCGCGGGGTCCGGGGGAGGCGGCTTCGGGGGTTCGGCGGCGGTGGCGGCGGCGACGGCTTCGGGCGGCAAATCCGGCGGCGGGGGCTGTGGAGGCGGTGGCAGTTACTCGGCCTCCTCGTCCTCCTCCGCGGCGGCAGCGGCTGGGGCCGCGGTGTTACCGGTGAAGAAGCCGAAAATGGAGCACGTCCAGGCTGACCACGAGCTTTTCCTCCAGGCCTTTGAGAGTGAGTGTGTACGGGGCTTTGAGGGCAGGGATCTGCGCCTATTCCAGCATTGGGGCGACGGGACATTTCTCTTGGGCAGCCCCCCTTCCTCACCGGGAGCCCACTTGATTTGGGAGTGGAGGGAGAAATCGAGGCGGGTATATTCCCCCTTCAGGGTTTGCGCCTTAATGAGATTGGAAGTCTAGGGCCTTTTGGGGAGGTGGAATAGGGGGTCCGGGCAGATTCTTGACTCCCCGGAGGTCTACACAAGAGGTTAGGCAAAGGGGCCCCACGTTCCGAGCAGGCGGCTTTTAGATGAGGTTTCAGTTGGAACAGAGGATGCAGGCAGATCCCAAAGACTAGTTCTTGTTTTCTTTCGTGCCTTTCGTACTCTAAAAGTGCAAGGGTTTCGGTTGTAGGTTTTGAGAAGCACAATTAAGCCTGTGAAGGGATCAGTGCAGTAAAGCCGGCCAAATTGTCATTAGTTTGAAATGCCTTCGCACTAACTTGGTGTTGCATATTAACACGACACGTTTTGATGCTTTAGATCTTTCAAACCTATCAGCCCATTTTATGGGTATCAGAACTGAGACGGGGAGTGTTTAAGCGTCTTCTCTGGAGACAACTCCGGAATCAGCCCCTTAGCGTGTCTTAATTCCGGACCATTTTCTTTTGTCAATTTTGGTTTTTAAGGTCTGTTTCGGGGGCGAAACTATGACTTACTTGGAAAGGGGAGCATGGTGTCTGTGAAACAAACAATAGAACTTATAAAAAACATCACGACTATAAATAAAAACTAACTGTTCTTTAATGAATGTTATATCCTCATTCTTTTCCTTTCGTAGTTTTGAATGGATGTTATAGTTGGGTGATCTTTAATAGATAAATATCGTATAGAAACTTGAATAAACCCGGCCCTACCACTGAATGTCTTTATTTACAATTTTCCCCTGGCATATGTTAAAGGCATGGTATCAGCTGTGCTTGGAAAGACGTATTACATTGTTTAATACCCTTCATTCTCTCTCGTTAGTGCTTCATGAAATTCTAATTGGAATTTTATAGAAGAAATTTCAGTTTTTATTGAAGTGAATATTCAGCCTCCTTGAGAGAGATTCACATTCTTATTTTTACTTAATTTACTTTCAAAAATATGGAGAAGCTGTAATTGGAAATATGGTGGAGAACTATGACAGTAAACATACATGTTGGTAATCCTTTCTAAAAGACTCCACCTCCTTTTAGTTTAATTTGAAATTAAAACTAAATTAATTGAAGATTAGGTGGGAATTTTGAAAATTCTTTCTAAATTATGAGAAGACATCCTCCAAGAAAGTTTTAACTGTTTGCTTTCTGATGAGTCCACCTTGGAGAAGCCAACTGTCACTAGGAGCTAGATCTGGTTACAAACTTAATTCTCTAATATTGGTCTTAGTTTCTGGGACATTTAAATGCTTTAATTACTAATATAGCTACTCATTTAGTTGATTTTGATACTGTTTTATTTAAAGAAACGTGGTACTAATAGTTCATTAATGTAACTGGTACGTACTATGGTATATGTGTATACAATATTTTCCATCTGAACCCTAAATCCATTCTAGCAAATTAAATTTTAACTACTCAGCATTAAAAGATTGCTTTGAGAATCTGTCAATTGCTTTAAAAATCTGTGTTGAGGTAATGTTTACGTTGAGCAAAACATATATTTAAACTATAATTAAAATAATCATTGAGGGTTTTAGCTACAAATTGTGTCTCTGAATGTCTTTAATACTGACTTTTAACATATCTGTGGTAGGACATCTAGGAAAAGTTTCATCCCATTTTGGCTGATTATTATTCAGATTTTTAAAATCACCAGTTAAAAAGTGAAATTTTTATCTTGTTTGGTATCAAATAAATAGTTCCTCTCCTGACTCGGACTACCTCATTTCAGCTGCTTTTTGGAAAGAGATGGGTTATGAATAGCTTAAATTAGTTAAATTTAACTACTGTTCTTCAGTTCAGAACAATAGGTACCTTAGAAATGCAAGGTTTAAGAACAAAAGCGTAAAGAACTTTATGTTTAAAATAAATGGAGATAAATTTTGTGAATGTATGTCAAAAATGGAATGTATTTTGATCTTATTGTACATATTTTCTTGGTGTAATATTTAGTACATGATTTCCATAACTGGTGATCAGTTTATATTGGGGATAACGCAGGCTGGGTTGGTATTTTCCTGACAAGTTAAGTGATAAGAAAATTTAGATAATGTTTGGATTTTGTTCCCTGTTACCTAGAACCAACACAGATCTATAGATTTCTTCGAACTCGAAATCTCATAGCGGTAAGTAATCAACCAAATTCAGCAATATAATTTTTGTTCTTAAGAACTTCATTGTTATTTAATTTTAATATTTTTGAAACTTTTTTTATAGCCAATATTTTTGCACAGAACTCTTACTTACATGTCTCATCGAAACTCCAGAACAAACATCAAAAGGTACGTTTTGTGAATCTTATTTCAAACTGATCAAAGAATGTTAAAGTTGTTTTTTTTTTTAAGTACTATTTCTAATTAAAGATTAAATATGAAAACTGAGGTGGAAGAGTGACTGGTTGAATTAGTTGCAAAGTGATTTTTGGTGCTAGTTTGTAAATCCCAGTTTATTACCAAATTTTTTTCCTAATAGAAATTTCAGTAGTGAAATGAATGAAATTAGTGTTTTTTTCTTATGCTGCTAGTATTTAACAGTATCTTATATGTCTAACAATAAAGAATTAGCTCCTGTAATGATAGGTTCAGAAAGTCTCATTTAATATTTTTGATGATGGTTTACTGAAGGGGTAACACTTTTGAAATCACTAGGATGAACGTTCTGAAAAAACAAGACTTAATCATCTGGTCTTAAAGTAGAGTCTGGAGGTGTGGGTTAGAGCTTATTTTTTGCTATGTAACTTTTAGCACTTAACCGTATGTAATAATATGGAATGCCAGTTTCTTGTTCTAGATGAAAGATTATATTTATCGAGCATATCAAGTGAACAAGTTTAAATTTAAAGGAGAGAACTTTTTCTATTCAGCATTCAGTTCTGGTGTTATTTTAGTTTTAGTAAAACCATTAAGCTATCTGAGTAGACTAAATAAACTAAACTACTTTGGGGATTCTTTTGGTTATTAAGTAGTCATCACTTTTTCTATATAAAGACATAGTTGAGCTTTGTAGATGTATCTAGGTGTATTTTGAAGGATTGAAATGTTAAAACTTCTGGGATTCTTTCTGAACCTAGAGAAAGAGCATTGCATTTACTAATAGGTAAAACTTGCCAAGCACCTAAATAACTAGGAAACAGATGAATTAGTCGACAGAGTTAAATTTGTCAGCTCTTTGTCTGTGTACTCCATTATTTGATCTATGCCAGGGATCAGCAAACTTTCTGTATGAAGGACCAGATAGTAAACATATTTTAGACTTTGTGGGCCAGGAGGCAAAATCGAGGGTGTTATGTAGGTACTTAGATATAAAGAGAGACAACAAATGTCCACGCGTTTTTATTGACAAAATTCTAACTATAGTAATAATTGGTACAATTTTTTGTGATATAGGCCTACTAGTGAGAAGTGTGGGATTCCTTTTTTTTTTTTTTGACATGGTTGGGAGGTAGACAATATTTCCCTTAGTTGAGTTTTATATTTAGTGTTTCTTATCATCTAATGGGGAGCCCTGCTGGTACAATGGTTAAGAGCTCGCCTGCTAACCAAAAGATCGGCAGTTCGAATCCATCAGCCCCTCCTTGGGAATACTAAGGGACAGTTCTACTCTGCCCTACAGGGTCTCTATGAGTCAGAATTGACTGGACAGCAGTGGGTTTGGTGTTTTTCTAAAATCATCAAACGGATTGCAAATGTTTATCTGTAAAAATCATTCTTGGCTCATAGGCTGTATAAAAACAGGTGGTAGGCCAGATTTGGACCATGGGCCATAGTGTTTAGACTCCTGATTTATAAAAATAATAATTTGATTTAGTAGTTAGGGTTTTTTTTTTCCATTAAAGTATTTTTTAATATGGAAGACAATTGAGTTGTTATTTATGATGTTGCCTGATTTTAATTTTAAAAACAAGTTATTTTAAAATAAGTTTGAGTTGATCTATAATTGAATTGAAAAATACTACTTAAAATCTAAGTTCATCATTTTCCTGTCATGTTTATTAGACTATTTGTCTCATCGTGAGATACATTTCTGCTGTCCGCCAGTGGGCGGAGGCAATTTTAAGGCTTGGTAGTGGAAACTGATTTTCTTAATTATTGCACTTCAAGTAATTTTAGCTTTAAGGAAGCAGTTTGCTAGCCAAGAAATATATAAATCCCACTTAGTTTATGTCTATACAAAAATGCTAAGGAATCACTTAATTCTTTTGTTATCTGCCTGGCTTATATAGTATAAGACTAATTTTTAACAAATTATACCACAACTCATCTTCAAATGAGCGCTGTCATCTAGTTGGTGATTTGCCCAGTGATTGTGCCTTTTGTTCAGAATGTTTTTGGACTCCTTTTTAGTGTTACAACAGTATTAATATCCGTTGTTGGAATAAACTTGAAGTCCTACACTCAGTTGTATTGAATAACTTGCTATATTGTTAAACACACGTTATACTCTAGTCTCACTTCCTAGAAGTATTAAAATTCTATGTGCTAGCACTACACTGACACAACAGAAATAACAGGTGAGGAGAAGGGCATCTTTTATTGAATCCATTTCACTAGGTTTTGTGTGAGCTGTTTCTGAACCCTCCCAAGAAAATTTCCTCAAATTGCTTGAATTTTTAAAATATTCTCCTTTCAATGACCTTTTGCAGTGGTTAAGTGCTGGGCTGCCAACCTAAAAGTCGGTGGTTTGAACCCACAAGCTGCTCCATGGGAGAAAGATGTGGCAGCCAATAAAGATTACAGCCTTGGAAACTCTATGGGGCAGTTCTACTCTGTCCTGTAGGATCACTATGAGTCAGAACCGACTCGACAGCAATGAGTTTGATAATAACAATTTCCCTTGTTAAAACTGAGAACAGCAGTACCTTTCTAAAGAAAAGAAATACTTGGTGTTGGAAGAGGGTCTGTGTTTGTGTAGTTGCTTATGGTGTTTGTTTGTTTTGTTTTTTCCTAAGGAAGGCTGAGTTGCCTTTATGATCTCATCTGTTTCAGATGGTGGTTAATACTCAGTTCTCCTATGTACTCCTCCTATGCACAACTTCATAATGTTGGAATTTATAGTCTTGTCTTTCTTCTTACAAATAGAATTCCTTCTTAATCATTATATAAATATAAACATTATTCTTAGACGTTTCCAGTAACTTCACAGCCCTCCTTAATAGTACTTTTCATATTTATACTGTAAAGTTCTTTGTAAATAGTCCTGCATTCTTCTTCCTTCTCTCTTATCTGTGGAGATTGAAAATGCATTACCATCCTTCATAAAGTACTTCTTTCTATTCTCTATTGGATAAAATTTTAATATTGAAGTTTTCAGTAACTCTGAAGGTAAAGAGAGAAGCTTTTTTTTAGAAAAAAGGTCTTATGTTAACAGAGGCTATTCCCGTTCACCTGAAACATAGATTGTGTCAGTGTGTCAGTTCTGTTCTTCCTATCAGTATTTATTGCAATGTATTTACATTAACATTTCTTGCTGATAGTTTTAATTATAGGGGTTGATTACAATAGTTGTTTTTGAGGAATGAGCAAATGGTAATTTCTAGTATCTGTATTCAAGTTTTATGAAGTGATAAATTAATGTGGAATACATTACGCTTTTAAAGTACTAAATTTAAAGAGAACATATTAGTATAAAGGGAAACGTTTGTTTCCAATTAATGAATTACTTTTTTTCTTAAACTTGTCAAGTTAAAAGCTAATAATTTTATTATTTGATGGGCATGTCCCCTAAACTTAAATCTTTTTTGTGATAGTTATAACTATCTCTTCAATATGACCTATCATTTAACTTTAGGCTTTGCTAATAGTTTTTGAGAATGCCTTATAAACTTCATATGTTTTATAGAAATCCATTTTTATGTGATCGTAGCAATACATAATTTGTCAGGGTACTTAATAGAGTATGAATGTTTTAAAATATACATAATTTGCATTTGTTTGGCTCAGTTTAACAGATACTCGAATACCTACCAGTAAAACATGGCACTATGCCAAGCACTACATGGTTTTCTTTGAAGAAAAGCAGTCTGCCCTTCAGGAGCTTATCATCTAGTTTCATATGTAGGAGACTAAATGACAAATATAAACCCAGTGCCATGTGTAAGGAGAAGTCACTCTGGATTGGGAATAATTGTAAAAGGTTTCATGGAAACCTTTGGAGTTTGAAGGCTTAGCTGCTGTACTTTGACATACGCTTTCTTAAAAGTATTCATTGTTATAGCTAATTGCCCATGAATTTTCTTACTAAAAATAATCAAAATCAGTTTTCCATCTTGCCTACTTATAGTGACAATAAAGTATGATTTGTTTGTTTTTCCCAGTTGAGAAGTGATTATTTTTGTTTATCTGTTTCTTCCAGGAAAACATTTAAAGTTGATGATATGTTATCAAAAGTAGAGAAAATGAAAGGAGAGCAAGAATCTCATAGGTAAGATAACCTATCAGTTTACATTAAGTGATATAATTGAGGAAAGAGGAAAAATTATAGTGATCATTTCCCTAGTGATCACCTTGATATAAGGAGTTAGAAGGAACCCTAGAACTCAGTTGGTCCAAACTCATACACAAATCAGGAATTCCTTCTACAGCATCCCTGGCAGAGAGTCCTTAAGCCTCAGCTTGAGTATCTCCAATGTTAGGGAACTTGCCTTTTGTTACCAGTTTCTTGCATCTTGAATCAAAGTCTCTCTTTGTAACTCTGCAGTTGGTCTTATCCTACTGCAGAGATGAAGACTCTCATTTATGGTATACTTACTGTGTGCTAGGTGCTGTGGCAGGTGCTTCACAGCATCACATCTCTTCTAAGTAATCATGTTCATATGAGAGAGACTTTTTATATATCAGTCCTTCCTCTCATTTAAATCTTTTAAGCAAAATATTCCCAACTTTATTTTATATTTGAAAAATGCTTCCTTCCATGATAGTTTAGAAACTTGACCCTTTTGGATGATACAACTTAAAATATGATATACAGAACTAATCTCTAAATCTTCTGATTAGCCTAATAACTGTCTAATCTAGACACTGTGCTGTTTCAGTTGTTCTTTATATATGTACTAAAGAAAGTTGAATGCTGTTCTAAAGAAAAACAAGGATTTGGATGGTTATTTGCTCATTCATTGACTACTTTTTAGAGAGAATGCAGAACTAAAACAACTAGATTTTAAAATGGAGTTGGAAAAATTGCCAAGATGGATTTCCCTTAAAGTTTTTAATCACATTTTACCAACTTAGATTAGGATAAATACTGGATTAATGATACTTCGTTTATGGTTTCTCATTGTTTTAGTGACTGGTATAGGAATATATTTTTGCAGTCATTTATATTTTAAGTATGGCTTTAGAATTAGGTGATTTTTAAAAAAAATTGAAAATCACATTTTTCACTTTACATTTTGGAATCTTGTTAGGACCAAAGTGTAATTTGTATTTCCATATCTGGATGGTCCTCAACTAATTAGCTAAAAGTTGAGATCCCAAATCTTTGTTTAGTCTGTCTACCACTGCCCAAGAAGTACTATAAAAGAGAGGATTGAGATTGAGTATACTCCCAGTGGATATACACTCTATTCTTGGCTTGAATTTCTATTCTAAATCCTTGTCTGGTTACCTACCCTAGACAGCTCTTGGGATCCTCAGTGCCTTTTTTACTTAAGGTATAAACTGCAGTCAGCCTGCTTTAACCTCCCTGCTTATTTTTTCCTGACCACCTTACTAGTTTGCCCTCCATCCTTCAAGTCCTAAATGAGAAGAAAGAATGAACCAAGAAGAAAACTTGACCCTTTTATCTTCCCCATCAAAGTTCTACCTTCATTGCTGCAAAACCCTGCTGCTGTCTCATTGTGACATTGGCTTTGATAAATATTACACATACCTTAAAAGTGTGTGTTGTGAGGGAGGTAGATTAGACTGGCCAATTCTCTCTGGACGATCACTCCCCTGGTATATTTTGTTCCTTTTAAACCAGTGGATTCAGTAGGTAGGCCAGTACTGTAACAGGAGTGTTGTTAACCAACTCACAGAAACATCAGAGGGTTATGTAAAATTCTGCTTGTCATTTTGCAAGGCCATTGTTTTGATCCTTAGTTCCACTTGAAACTGAGTTGGCCTCTTCAACCCCCTAGGATCTTCTATGTATGCCTCAGTGTGCTGCTCCCAGAGGCACTAAAATGAATTGGGAAATTGCTTCATTTGAAGTTTACCCCAAGACCCTATATTACTAAGTTACTACAGTGTATTTCTCAAACTGGGCATTGTTCTAAAATAATCACACAGGGCTGTCAGAAGTACCCTAAAGACCAATATATAATGCCAGCACCATAAAACTTGTAAATTCTGTTGTCAAATTCTTCAAGAGAAAACAAGCTAAATCTTTGTTGTTCTAAGACATCAGTCGAAGTTAAAACCTTAAATCATGTACAGAGATATCTTTATTCCTCCATTCTTTTTCTGTAGCATCTCAGACATAAAGATCTCATTCAGTTTGATTGGATCCTGGACCCGTTCAACAGTTGCAGTTTGGGAGACTTTTTCAGCACTTCCAAAATTGTAATATCTCCATTCCCAAGCCCAATTTATTTCATTCCCCAAAGTTCCAGGGGCAGTATCAAGATATAAAACAATATAACAATGCTTAAGCTCCAAAGTGAGAACAACCAAATGCCAGAACTAATTATGACATTTGTAGTGACTTACAAACGAAGTCAAATCCCCAGCATTATCTGTGCGAAAGAAGCTGATCTTCCAGGATCTTTTATGTCTTTTATAAGCTAGATCTACAGTTGTCTTACTAGTCACAGATAATTGTAGGCATTTAATTTAGGGGAAGCAGCTGACAGAAAGAAGAGAAAAACATGGGACATTTCATTGTTTTTATTTCTCTAAGGTATCAGTTAATTCATGACAATAGACCAGAATTGTCATTTGTAACCTTAAAATTCCAGAATACAGTTTACTGTCTATGCATATTGTTTCTTTTTCTTTTTTGCAGGGTACCTGCAATTAGCAAATTTTAGAAATTCGTAGTGATGGCACTTCTGGTCCCTGGGTTTTTCTTGCCTGATGTGCCTTTTTGGTGTGGTTATGTATATTTAAAACATCTGTGTTTTATTTTTAGAATGTCTGATAAAATGCCTTATATCTTTTTAAGCTTTTGTTTCTGGTACTCCAGTTTGGAATTTATTGTGGATTGGGTTCTGACCAAGGACTATGGCTTATAGAGTAAATTTCTTGCTTTTTGTAGTATTCCAACCTAGCAAGATCCCAAGTGTTCCTTGTGCTATCAATCCTACCAATTCTGGAACTCTCTTGTTGTAACTCCTGTCTCCTAAGGGCATCTCCACTGACTGAAAGGCATCATGAAAAGATTTCCAAATTGGAGTTGCCTCCAGAAGTGTTTCTCAGGGCCAAATGAGAAGCAGAATGTGTCCTCTCTTATTCTTCTGTTTATGGCCTACTGTTAGTAGCTGGAGAAGTCCCTTCAAAAGATACCTGAACTAGAACTTTTACTAGGGGTATATGTTTAAGTCTGTATTCTTAGTAGGTTGACAAGGCAAAGTACCTTTTATAACTTCTTTTTCCACATTACAGTGTAAGCTTTTGAATTTCTTAGGCATTGGTAATTCTTCTTTTCTAAACATCCCCCTTTCTAAACATCTTTTTGTACTATAGTGAGATCTGAATCTGTTTTTTTCTGGGATTCCCATTTCCTTCACATGCCATGTCCTAGGTACTCTAAGCCTTAGAGGAGATGTAATGGTAAGCAGACCAGATGAAAACCCTCCTTTTATGGAGCTTAGTGTCTAGGGGGAGAAGAGATAATCATATACTAAATATAAAATAGGTTCTGTAAGAAAGTATAGGAAAACTATGCATGTACAGAGCAGGAGAACCAGCACCTGTTTGAGGTGTAGGATTTGGGAATAGGGATAGGTCAGGGAACGCTTCCCTGAAGCAATGACCTGAGATTTGAAAGATGGATATTGGAGTAAAATGGGGCAGGGGAGAGGCAGTGGCATCACTAGAAGGGTGTAGGGGTTGTGGACTGCACCTCCTGACACTCAGGGTGACACCAAAATGTCTCCAGGTTACCCAACAGCAGCCGAGATGCTGTTGGGGGAGGGGCCGCCAAGGCAGTGGCGTCACTAGGGTTGGTGTCACACCATCACCCAGTGTGGTCACTTGTCACCACCACTCCCTCACCACCTGCCAGTCACTAGGATTGGTGTCACCCGGTGCAGTAATGCCTCACTACCACCACCCTCACACACACACCCCTTCCCTCCCCCGTCACCCACCAGTTAGGGTGCTGGTGGCTGGGCTGCCATGCCCGCCATTGGGCAGTGAGGAGGATCTCCACCCTAGCCAATGGGAGAGAGGAGGAGTTGCAGGGAGCCGCAGGAAAGGGCTGGGCCAGGCTACTCTGGCCGTGCAGGGTGGGGTTTGCTGTCTGCCCCTGCCCACCCCCAGTGGTTGGAGGAGTGTGACACCATAAATTACTGCACTGGATGACACCAACCGTAGTGATGCCACTGGAGGGAGTGTAAGCAGGCAGATGGTTCTAGGTAAAGGGAGTATGATAAGTCATTTGAGGAACTCAGAAGAGGCTAGAGAGTGACATGAGATGAGGCTGGAGCATAAGGCTATCACCAGATACTGGCGGGCATTGTGGGCTTTGTCAAGATGTTGGTCTTTATTGTGAGAAAGCCATTAAATTATTTAAATGGAAGCATTGCATTAAAGGTTTTCCCCTGCCCTTCTCTTTTGTGGATTCAGCCACATTTTTAAAACTTCAGGCCACTTCTTAAGTTGGTCCTATTTCTTTTCCATCTTGGTAAGATTTGATTGTCCTCCTCTTTTCTTTTTTCCAACGATCCTGTCTTGACTATCAGTTTGAAATTATTTTCAAAGTGACATATTTTCACTCTTGAATTTTAGTTGTTTTTTTCAGAATCTGGGCCATCAGTTTTTTTAAAATAATATTTTATTGTGTTTTAAGTGAAAGTTTATACAATAAATTTGGTTCCCCTTTAGCAATTTTTATACAGATTGTTCAGTGCCATTGGTTACAGTTTTTATAATGTGTCAGTATTCTTATTTTTTCGATTTTTCCATTCTGATTGTTCTGTTTCCATTGATCTAGCTTCCCTTCCCCTTCTCATCTTTGCTTTTGGGTAACTGTTGACTATTTGGTCTCATATACATAGTTAACTGTTTAAGGGAGCACATTCCTCATGGGTGATATTGTTTATTTTATAAGCTAATCTATAATTTGGCTGAAAGGTGACCTGCAGAAATAGCTTCAATCCCAAGTTCAAAGGTTATCTTAGCGCAGTGGTTTCGGGGGGTTCCTCTAGCCTTTATTGGTCGAGTAGGTCTGGCCTTTTAGGAATTTGAATTTTGTTCTACATTTTTCTCTTGTTCTATCCA